TGAAAATTGAAATTGCGAAAATTAATGGGGCGAAAACAATCCTGTATACATCATGTGAAAGTTAGGAGTAAACATTCACGAGATGTGGAGGCTTTCATTGCACTGTTACAGAAAATAAGGAGAATACCAATTGAACTATGTGTATAGAAATAAAACACATGTGAAAAAAAAACGAAACAAAAGAATTCAGAAAACATTTATCAAATTCACAACGAAAACCCTCGATAACTGATGCGCCTTCTAGTTGAAAAAAAAAAAGAATGTTGTGTTAAATTGTTTCTTGCACAACCTACAATAAAAAGACATAAGAGAACGAGAAATGAGAGGCATGCTTTGAACAATTTGAAAAATGAATATGAACAATTTGAAAAATGCATACGATCAACGAATTTCAGTGCCTGTAATTTAAATAAAAATGAAATAACCCCTCGATATACATTGAAGTGTGATGTTCATTAGAAAAATATATCAGTAAATAGTGGAGCTGCATACTACATGTACTACTATTTGTTACCTAGCTGTCTTTTTTTTATCATGCCATAACAAGTATCATTGAATACTATTATCAGCAAGCTGGGAAATTTCATATGACCAGAAAAAGGGGGTTAACATGTTTTCAAGGAAATTGTTTTGCTTTAATTGTAGATTTACATGTACAAATTGTTGTTAATTCTGTGGAGCCTTGCTTTGAAGTGGTCTATGAACACTTTATTTTCGTCCTACTTACATGTTCCGATCGACGTTCAGTGGATGAAAACTGTTTAACTTACATGTGATTAGGAAATGTAGAAAAAAAAGAATCTAGTGTATGTTTTGCATCAGAGTATACTTTGCAACAAAAACGCTTTCATACCATTTGAAAGATATATTAAGGGAAATATAATTTTACCTTATCCAACCGTCTCTTTGGTTGTCTCCTCGCCTGTTCTCCTTTTTGGCAGAAAAAAACTTGATATTATGTTTGACTTTGGTTTTAGCTACGGCTTCTATATTTCATATTCAAATACATGTACTTTAAACAGCGCATTTACTTTTTATAACAATACTGTTGGCCTCTTAACTATAAAATGGAACGTTAGCCCATTTTGTAGATACCATAGAATCCTAATTATATGTGAAGAATAAATTATCGCGTAATTCAAGGAGACGGGTCATTGCATAATGAATTTACACTTATTATTACAGGGCTGTAATTTGTGTATTTCCATTTCTATTTTTTTAATCTATGATAGCTCTTTGAAAGTAAGAGGATCCGTGGATTTCTTGATAAATTCTACCGGCATGTTAATTAGACAGGTCGATAAGTAAGCAACCACGAAGCTCTAATATGCATGTAGATCTCTGTGCATCTGTCTCTGTATCTAACGCTAAGGAGGCCGAGTATGCATTTTAATCTCCTGCGGCTGCCTCTGTGTAACGCCAGGAAGCAAGTACATGTACTATTGAAATTGACATGAGAGTCCTCGTGTAATTTAAATATATATATATCTGCATTTTTGTTGGAACGTTGGAACGATACGAAAAGACTAATAGTGTCAAACGGAGACCTAAAAGTGGTCGTCCAAAAAGCACAACTGTTAAACAAGATAGACAAATATCCCAACTTGAGAAGAGAAATCGAATGTCTTCAGCTGTTGCTTTGAACAGAAAGCTATCTGCAGCAACAGGTATAAGGATTTCAACACAAACCTTGAAAAACAGACTGCATGATGCGGGATTACGTGCCAGAAGACCTGCTGTGCGCCCACCTTTGAACGTGGAACATCGCAACCGTCGCCTCCAGTTTGCTCAAGACCATATCAACTGGGACCATCATCATATCCAAGGAGTGTTATGGACTGATGAATCCAGATTATGTCTGGATTTTAATGATGGACGCAGACGAGTATGGAGGAAGAAAAACGAGAGGTTTAAGGACTGCTGCATCACTGAACATGACCGGTTTGGTTGTGGATCAATCATGGTTTGGGCAGGTATCAGTTACGATGGCTTCACAGACCTTTATGTCATAAGGAATGGATCGCTAACAGGTGTCCGTTACAGGGATGAGATCCTTGCACCAATACTTAGGCTTTACGCTGGTGCAATCGGTGAAAATTTCATATTGATGGATGACAATGCCAGGCCCCATTGTGCGAGAGTGGTCAATCAGTACTTAGAAGAAGAAACAATCGAAAGGATGGATTGGCCAGCAAAATCACCTGACCTGAATCCAAAAGAGCATGCATGGGACATCCTCCAGAGGCAAATTTTAGGATAACTTCCGAAATTTGATCAACAGTTTTCCAAATCGACGTAGGTAAGTAATTCGGGCTAGAAGCGGTCATACAAGAAACTGAAAGTAAGGTTTGGACTTTCCAGGTTAATTAAAACCCTGAAAACACAACTGTTGTTTCCTCATGAAATCCTGTATTGATGAATATTCCTGTTGTTTTGACAGTTACATGTTGTAACATGTTGTTCATTTGTTTATTATAAGAGATTTATCATTATTTACTTTTAAAATGTTATTTGTTTCCACCACCTTTACAAAATAAGTTGCAAAAAATAAAATTCTCAAGTTGGCCCTTAACTTATTTTGTTGAGTGTAGTAAAACGCTCTCACATAATTATTTTTTTTAACATTTGGATGACTAACAACTAAAAAAAAATCGAAAAGGAAAACATGCAGATAACAAATTTTGACCGTTTTATTTTTTAATTTCCAAAAGAGAAGATTGTTAGTGAAAATATTGTCGATATACAGCCTGAAATGTCTTTTATATTTAAATTCGGCCTAGATAATAAAATAATAATAAACGTTTTGGTGTTTCACCAGAAAATATCAATATTGATCGAGGCAAAGTATACATGTAAAGGAAACGCATTCATTTTGCAATTTGTGTTAAAAGCAACGTTCGCGCATTAGAGTACGTCTCTTTATGTTTTGTTGAATGAAACATATGACAATAACGAAAAAAGTTTAAGATCAATAATCGATAATCAAACAATAGAAAATACATATGTTACAGAAGCCCATTAGTACCACCTCTTATATTTAAACAGGACCAGTCCAAATACTATTTCTACATACGTAGCTATTTATAGCCAAGTTAAGCAAAAATGTATGTAAAAAATGCTATTTTGGGTGGGTTTAAATTCATACTGTGACAAACGTACATGTAACAGCGATGTAGATAGAAATAATCTTCGGCCTGGACCTGTTAAACATTGATTAAAATTTCGAGCTTGAAATATCTAAATAGCTTTATTTAGCTATTCAGAGCCGCTTTTATATGCAATTTTACACAACTTTATTTTTTGCAAGAAAAAAAGCAGAGCAAACACAGAACTCCAAAACATTGGGGGTTAGATAAGGTGCCACGGAGGAGTGAGCATCCCTTGCCCTGATATGTTTTTATATCTAGCATATTCAAATAGCGCCAAATTAAATTTCAGGTACATTTCAGACATCTACGAAATAACAATGGACAACAATATTTTATCGGCCGTAAAATGTATATCTGATTCTTAAAAAGACAACTCATACATGGGTATATCATAGTGTGTTGATATTTTTTTTCTTAAAATTAGGAGTAACAAGGTCATTGTATCAACAAAAGTACCTAGGAAATGATGACGTTAAACGAAACTGCTGATATCATTTTTATCACTTGTTTGTCAATAATTTACCTCTTTTTAAAAATTGTTCATACGTAGAGCATCTCTTGCGTATCGAATAAACTTAAATATATAAAATTCCTATGCAAGTGATGAAGGAATATTGCTGCATAAGTAAGGAATTTTACAATAGATAAGTTGATGTCATCAGGTTTATCATGAATCTTCGTTGTTAGATTTTCGTTCACGTCTTTTTCAAGTAAAATATCCGAATATTTAACAGATGTGTCATTATGTGATATTTTGCATCTGTTGTTTGTCACTATAAAATTTCCTACAAGTTTCACATAAATTCTCAAACGCATTTAAAAAAAGTGCATAAAACCAAGACTCATTTTCTTATTCATATCTGTATCAAATTGATATTAACTTGATATGATATTCCCTTTTTATATCAAAGTCATTTTTTCATCTGCTTCATTGCAATTCCAATCCCACATTATAAAATGTGCAATTAAAGAAAATTTAACACCCCAACAATCCAAAATAGGGTTCTATGTGTAAATCTTTGTGTCTTAATTCTACACATTTTAAAAATAACCTTTGTAGAAAAAAAAACAACCCATAGAAATTATTTTCTTCAAAAATGTTATTCTGAATGATATCTAAAATATATTTGCAAATCTAAATAGAATATTATATAATTTCTAATTAAGGATATTGAAACTCAGATATCCATGAAATTTCAATCGACCCTCCTTACTCACTCAGAAACGTTTCTGCAACTTCATGTCACTATGAGTTTATTCAGTGAAAACAATGTCAAATTGCTATAAGAAAACATACGATGACATTTACATTTTAATATCTGTTTTAAGGAATGCAAAAATAATCCCAGAGATTAAAAAAGGCTTTGAGTTGAGCCTCGGAAATTTTAAGATATACAGTCGGGAGATGGATATTAATTTTTTTTTTCTTTTAAAAAGAGAAAGCTTCTGGTTTACAAGTACTGAAAAGGAATTCTCATTTTCTTTTTACAAGAATATTTTTTGTTAATATGCAGGGTATTTAGAGGCCCCAGTGATTTTTTAAAACTTTATAAACGAGTTCTAGCATAATATGGTACCCTATCAGTCACTGTGAACAATGGATGAAAACATTTGATATTCTTAAGTATTCTTCTACAGTCAAGTTTTAAGACAAAGATAATGGCCCTCTGTCTCCAATCTCTAATAACTATAACAAAACAGAGAACATTAGATGATATCGATTTCATTTTAGTATAAGTATTTTCTATTTCTTGAGTTATTTTAGCATTATAGTCTTATTCGATAATCCTTATCAATACGTGACTGTGAGGCGATAGTTCAATAACATGGAACGCTTATATAATCTGCAATTTATGTGAAAGTGTTACACTCTTACTGTTAATACAGTATGATTTTCCTTGCAGTTCTCCTGTTTTCTGTGTCTGCTGCCTCCAATACTAATATGTGGGACAGTCAAACTGTTTCTCTCTCTGATTTGCTAAAAAGATTGAATGATTTAGAGGAAAGACTGCAAGTACAAGAACGAATAAACAGAGAACAAGAAGCCGTCATCAAACGTTTGATTATTGAAAATATAAACCTTAAAAATATTGTAATGCCAAAGACAGACATTTCTGTTGATATCAAAAAGCTTAATGAAAGTGAAGGATTTACCCATTCCCCTGGAAACAGCAATACCACTGGAGAGAAAATCAATACTGTACATAAGATGCATTTATCGAATTCAAAATCGCATTTGAATATATCCGATGAACACTCTAGTGTTGGAAATTGTTGCCAAAAATTATTGTTGGACTTCAAAAACAATGGACCCAAAAGGAGATCTGTTACAGGTATGTGCTTCGAAATACCAGTTCTAATTCTTTTTTTGGCCGAAATGGTAAACAAAATGTTGAGCAATTCATTCAGTTTAGTATTAATTGTTACTATGAATAGAAGTTAATTTGTTATGAATTTATTTTTATACAGGCGGTGCTGCTTTTTACTCTTATTTGTCAGATAGTGAGAGTAATCCAAATCGTCTCCAAATAATCATATTTGACCACGTGATTACAAACGTCGGTGGAAACTACAATCATCACACGGGGTTCTTCTACTGTCCAATGGATGGGGTGTACACATTTTCGTGGACTTTATATTGCTCTTCTAATGGATATATTTATTCTGAAATTGTTGTTAATTCTGATGCCGTTGGAGCCATGATTTGTAATGCCGAGGGAGCAAGCAGTATCAGACACTCAACCGGTGTAGTTGTTGTGGAGATCAATCAAGGGGATGCTGTCTACATCCGAACACATCCTAGTGCCAACCTTGTCGGACGTCTTCATAGCTATTCTGCCTATCGATCTTCATTTAGTGGATGGAAACTTTTTTAACCATATGAAAGAAGTCAATAATAAAATTCCACGTTTCTGAAAAAAAATTATATCTTGTGTTTTAAGTAAAGTATATGTAAATATATCACTAGAACTATTTTATCTTTAAAGGTTAATCATTCCTGACTTAATTTTATCGATTGAGTCCCTGTCCTTCGATTGGACGAGAACAAATTGAAGAGAAAGTTAACACCTTAATATTATTTTTAAGTCAATCAAAACTTATCTCTTGACCTAGCTTTTAGGTCAAAGTAAATACAAAATGAAACAAGCTGTGCATACATTGTACTTCTACGCTGTTTTCGCAAAATTATGATTACAGAAACTTAAAGATTTCATTAAAGACTGACAGACATGAATATTACCAGAGGTATATTAATGTCACTCTCGGGTTACGAGTGTGAATTTTAAAAATCGTTGATGTCATATTTTCGATGTCCCTAAGAAAATCAAATCAGTTTTCAGTAGCGTTGTGACAGGAAAAAGAAACGTACCTCAGACTTTTACGTTACTGGCATCAAATTCATATTTTTACAACCTATGTTCTTTCTTATCTTTAAGAAAACAAGAGCAGTCAAGAATGTGGTCGGTCTGCTAAGCTTGCAATCGCATAATCTCGGGTCTTTCCGTCGAAGGTCGGAAAAACAACCTTGACTGTATTAACATAACCGGGTGTTAAACATTAATACATCTTCCTTTTTGAATATATCTGATAAACTATATAAACGTTCCTTCCATTGTTCATTTTAGGTAATATATTTTCATTCAATAAGGTTAAACTCCATAGTCAAGAGATAAAAGGTTTTCCCATATTTGTTTCAGGGTTTCTGAAAAAATGGGGTTGGAGTTAAAGGTCTATCTCATACATTCGAGGTTAATTTTCCGCTAGTCGGAAAGGCCCCAGAAGTTACGATTGACTGTGTTTGTCGTTTGTTTTAGAGAGTTGTCTTTATTATTTAAAGTATACTTGTATTTACCACAATTGTTCATTTAAACAACATTCAAAGAGTTTAAATAAGTTAATTATTTTATTGTTTTTTTTTTTAATTCAAGTTGAACTTTATCGACATTCATCGCGACAATGTTTCAATCATATTAATGGATATAAAGTATCCCTATGCCGTATTAAAAAACACTGATTGTATGGAGACTTCAAAGAGAATTGATTTTTAAATTGGTACTTGGAATTAATTATTATAATTTAACTTTTTTCAGCATGTATCGATATGTAAACTCATTTACATAAAGAAAAGGCTTCAGTTTGTGAGTCTACAAATCAATTAATTCTGAGAAAGAAAGTATAACCTTAAATTTCAAATACTTCAGGGCTGGAAATTCTTCTTTTCTATCTGACTGCGGCCAAGACAATTGTATACAATTTTTGTTGAATAATTCAGCACGTGAAGCCTTTTTCTCAAACAATTTAAAAGGCTAGACAATTTTACTCTTAACTTTTTTTTAAAACGGTGTTAAAAATGTTTCATTTCACATTTCTCTTTTATTTTCGAAAAGAAATAGGTGAGAGGGTAATTGAAAATTGTACAATTCCACGTTCATCGAGTCCATCCTTGCTTCTGATAAAGTTTTAATTCTCTTTTGTTGAACCAATAAGGAGAGAGCAGGTTTTAAAGCATATGATATAAGATAAGAAAAATCAGTGATGCGGTGATAAATCCTTTTAAATACTATTAATTTTCAATAAAACTTCAGCAAGTAACAACCTTTCTTAACACCCCTTAGAATTTAAAATCAACACATTTCGACAGTAGAAATTTTATTGGTGTTTAATGTTTCTTCTATTAAATTGTAAAAGACAGAACTCATTATTCCTTATTTTAAAATGAATAGTTCAAGAACCTTAAATTCATATAACTATGCTATGCTTATCTTATTTCGGAATTCCTATACGGTGAGTTTCTTATCAAAACGTGACTGCAAGGTAACAGGTCAAGAATATATACTCTTAGAGTGTATTTAATCTGCCGTCCATGCACAAACAGTGAAACTGCACTCTGGTGTAAGGGTCATGATTGTCTTACCGATTCTCTTGTTGGTGGTGTCGTCAGTCGTTAGCGCCTATCCATGGTACCGTTCAACTGACTCTCTCTCTCTCTCTCTCTCTCTCTCTCTCTCTCTCTCTCTCTCTCTGATTTAGTAAGATTCAATGAATTAGAACAAGGGCTTAACTTGCAAAAAAGGCTTAATGCTGGGCAAGAAAAAGTCATTGAAAAATTAAAAATTAAAAGTAAAATGATACAAAAAGCTTTGGAGACTCTCACTACAACTAAGAATCAGAAGCAAAAGAATGATTAAAGATCGAATTTTGCGCTTGGAAGTAAAACAACTATGAAAAACGAAATACCGACAGCATTTTGAATGAACTCGGATAAAAATCCCTTGATCTCTCATGCACCTTCTTGTCAAAATAATTGTTGTGAAAATCCGTTGTTGACCTTACAGTACAAAAACACAAAGTGAGATCTGTTATAGATATGCTTCAAGATGAAAGAACATCCAAATTAACTCATTATATTTAAGTATATGGATTTATAATGAAGAGAAAAGTTTATTGATATTAATATTTTGAATCTACTGTCTTTTTATTCATAAAGATAGAGTTGCATTTTATTCGTACTTGTCACACTATGAATATAATCCAGGCAGTACGTCATCAAACAATCATATTTGACAACGCAATTACAAATATTAGTGGAAACTATACCCAACACTTGGGAGATTTCAATATCACAGAGAATGGGGTGTACACATTTTCCTGGACATTGTTTTGCTCAAGTTTTGGATACATATATTCCCAAAATATCATGAGTTCGAATTCGGTCGGAGCCTAGTTGTGTAGTGCACAAGGAGAAGACGAGATAAGGGCGACACCGGGTATGGTTGTTGAAGAGGTCAACCACGGAGATTGTTAATCAGAACACACCCTACTAATGCCATAGTCGGAACACATTATAGCCATTCTTCTTATCGATTATCATTCAGTGGATAGAAACTTTTTTTGAGTAAATCAGGAAATTAAAAAAGTAATGAAATCATGCATTAGGTATTGGTAATCTTTGCAACAGAAAAAAATTGCATGAACACATTCATAAAAAAAAGAAATTCATAATTTCTACTACTGTTTGTTGTTTTACCTCTTAAGTGTTTGCGTGATGTTAAACGTTAATGTTAACCGCTGAAATGTCTTTTAAAACTATTTGGAAGAAAAGAAATTGGTTTGAAGATGCTAAAATTTGGTCATACAAACTCACTGGGATATATCGAGTTGGGAATTTAATTAAAGTAACAAATTGACAAGGATTAGAGTTATTCCCGTTTAGTTAATTGCTGTTATCAGGAAATCATTGCAAATAATATAATTAATGAGTTATGTTTTATTATTTGATTAAGTGGTTTTAAAGCAAATAACCCTAAATTAAATAGAAATACACTAAAAAAAAGAATGCTAAAAATTATCAGCAACGTATTTTTGTCTAAAAACCACTTTCATTTATCGATGTACAGATTATGAAAGTAGCCAAATGTCGATTTTTTACTGTATATGTTTGTAACAATCACTAATATAACCTATAGGGTACCCCTTGTTTTGTATAAAGTTTCGCCCTTCGAGCACCTCTTTAGTAAGCACCCAGAATTCCTTGCAGAATTCTGGCCGACAGGACAGGTAACAATATCTAGGTATTCCCGGCAGAACTGTCCACCGTGTAAGACACGATGTAAAGGGTCAAGACAGATTGGTTTAAGTTTTGCACCAGCTTGTGCCTATGACTTACAGCAAGTCTACTGCAACATTTTAGTATATTTCTGCACGGAAAACAGACCGTGGTAAGTATATTTTGCAAGTACTTTTTAGTTATGTTAAATGTACCTTTAAAATTCGTTACATTAATTCACCTTGGCAGGCAGTCATCAATGACTTACCTGTGTGTGCGTTCAGGTGTGACGTTAGCGAGGGTGTTTGAATAGGTTTCCTCGTCAGAAGTTTTATCGCTGTTAGTGTAATTCTATACATTTAAAGAACAGCCTGTTTCTTTATTTTATTGTATTTTTGTTCGCTGTATTACTTTTTCATTTAAATGTCTGAGCGGAAGTAAGTTACCGGAAGTATTGTCAGCCATTTTGTATCTATGTCAACTGTAAACAAACTGAAGATATTAAAAGCATTTAAGTGTTATGTTATATTGAACTCAAGATAATTATATGGTTATTAATTAAAGCCAGTATAATTATATTATAGTATTGCCATATGTAGAGTACATAATTATTTTACTGATAAAGGAAAGTTAATATTTTAGCACCATGCTGAGGTGTTCGTTGTAACTGATGTGATGATGACGACGATGATGTCGATGATGTGATGATGACGACGATGATGTCGATGATGTTGACGATGGTGTCGATGAGGATGATGTCAGTGATGATGATGTTGATGAAGACGATATCGATGATGATGTCTACGACTTAGTCGCGGGAATCTCCAGTACATGTGAACATTTATCCCAACCACAGTCTGGGACTACAGCCCCGGAGGCTTGGGAGGTTTAAGGACAGTGTTGGACTTGATTGAGACTGTCGTATGGATGGGCAATACTAGTAATGATTGACATTGGGTTCTAAATTGGTTTGAGTTTTTGAGAACACGTGTTGATAGTTCATACAGCTGTTTAAACATCTTTTGATCATTTATTTTTTTTTATCATTGTAAAAAAACATTTTTTTTTTTGGTTACGATCATTTGAGTGAGTGTGTGTGTGTGTGTGATTGCGTGATTTATTTGTTAATTGTCTTTTCTTTATTTTTATTTTATTTTTTTTTTGTGTAAATAAATTCTTGTTTTCTTTGAAGAAATTCTTGTTTTGATTTGAAAAGGAAAGCCTGGCTCATTCCACGTTACAATGTTAAACTTAGGTATCCAATTTGTTGGAGACTTCTGACAGAAATGTTGAGAAAAAGTTGATGCTACTGAGAAGTGTTTGAAAAATAGGTTAAGGAAGTAATTGATTATTTG